TTTCTACCCTTTCTTATTTCTTTAACTAAATTTTCCCCTCCTACAATATCAACACCAGCTTTTCAGTTTCTGATAAATGCTTACCTTGAGCAAAAACAGCTACTTTAATATCTTTTCCAATACCCTTAAGCAAAATCACTGTACCGCGCACGTGTTCTTGTTCTGTTCTTCAGACTTACGTGAATCTATACCTAAATTAACTGCAACATCAATTGACTCATCAAACTGTGCTAAAGCAGATTCAATAATCTTTTCTAAACATTGCTTGGGGTTACCATGATATGTACTCATTTGCTTAACCTTCTACAACTTCTACACCCATAGATTTGGCAGTGCCTATAACCTTTTACTGCTGAATCCTCATTATCCACTTTCATGTCAACCATTTTACATCTTGCTACCTTAATTATAGCAGACATAGGCAACTTCGCCACCAATTCTTTACCCGGATTATTGGAGCTTTTGCCCAATTTAGCTTCTTGTTTAAGTAAATAAACAACAGGGGGACCTCTGACAGTAAAATTGTGAGAGCGGTCATCTCTTATAGAGATCCGTACTGTTACCAAATCACCTACCTTATAGTTAGCGTTAGCCGTACTAGTCGCTTTATTAAAAGCTTTACAGAACTCAGGAATGGGTATACCACGTGGACCAAGCACTGAAGCACTTTTTGGCCCAGGTACTGCCTTTCCCGCTTCCATTAATAAGTTAACCTTAGCAACCACGACACTCATAATTAATCCTCTATTTTCTCTACTTGAGCTAAGTCCAACTCTATTATTGTCGACTTACCTAAAATTGACACTTCTACATTAATAATTTTCTTCTCATCGTTAATCATATCTACTTTGCCAGTAAAATTTTGAAAAAGACCATCATTAATTCTTACCTTTTCTCCCTTTTCATAATCATGACTTAACTTCTTCGTCTCTTGAGCATTATAAAGTGCATTACACATTGAGCGAATCTCATCATCCAAAATTATCTTAGAAACATTACCATTCTCTAAGAATCCATAAACTTTAAGAGACTTTGGTATACTATTAACAAAGTTTAATACTTCATCACACAAATTCACATAAAAAAAAACATAACCAGGAAAGCATTTTTTCCATGTAACAATTTTTTTAGACCTTAATTCTGCCTCACTTGGCTCCTCATATGGAATAAAAACTTCCTTAAAATAATCGCTAACCCCTAATCCCATAGAATTTTCTAACACGTGTTGACACACCTTTTCCTCATAATTGGAAGCAACTCTCAAAATATACCACTTATATTTATCAAATTCTCTACACTTTAAACTCATTTCATCATCTCAAACTACTTCAAAATTACCCGGCTCATCACTGCAGAACCCAGGTGTTTGATTGAAAATATCCTTGCTCTCATTACACAGATGCATATACACATACACTTCACACAACTCCCTTATATCAGATTTTGAATTACCTACCGTCTGATAAGGAATAAATACCTCCTTGAAATAAACAGTGTAGTTTACCAACTCACGTATATGCTGCTCATACCCGTAATCAACTTTTATAATATACCACTTATATTCCATAAACAATTCCCAATAAAGCTTTAATTGCGTAAAGAGAAGTAAAATCTATCAAACGAAAGAAAACTGAAAAGCATAATATAATAACTACTACAACAAATAAAGACGACAACACTTTTTGCTTCTTGACCCAGGCAATTTTTCGTATTTCCTGCTTGATATTAGACAAAAAGACACTTAAGCTTTTTAACATTTTTAACACAATATTAATGCAGGAGCGATAGGAATCGAACCTACAACCTCTGGTGTTGGAGACCAATGCTCTACCAATTGAGCTACACTTATGACTAAAACTTCCTACCCCAAAATTTCGGAAACAACACCAGACCCAACAGTTCTACTACCCTTTCTTATTGCAAAACATAATCTCTTATTTATCGCTACTGGTACTCGCAATTCTACTTCTTTACTTACATTATCTCCAAGCATTACCATTTCTTTCCTTTTTAGTA